CCCCCCCCTCACGCACAGCCGCAGCTGGCGGCGGCGGTGCCGGGGGGCTGCCGGGGGGCGCCCAGAGCCGCCCAGAGCCGGGCAGAAGCGACGCGAGGACGGGGTGCTCAGCAGCAGGCTTGTTCGGCGGCGACATGCGCGCTCGCTGATGGCGACCATGAGCAGGGCGTCGCGGGCGCTCCTGGCGCCGCTGCTGCTCGTCGCGCTGCTGGTGGCGGCCGAGGTGCTGGGCGGCGCGGGCGCGGCGGCCGGCGCCGGCAAGAAGAGGAAGGGCCCCAAGCGCGTGCAGAGCCAGCAGCCCGCGCAGCCGGCCGACTACGACAGCCCGCCGGACTACTACGACTACGACGCCGAGAACAACGAGTACGACGGCAACGGTGAGGCAGTGCGGCGGGGGCAGTGCGCGCGCTTTAGTTAAATGTCGTCGTTGGCATGGCAAGTGTGTGAATGTCCGCACACGAGATGTAGGGGTGCCCAGCTCGACATGAATGTGTACAGCGGATTACCAAACAGTAATGACTGCCAATGATTACCTGGGATTACTAAAGATTGTCAATGAATACAAGGCCGGATTTACCTGCACACTCAATCAGAAAGTTCTTTTTTTTGTCCATGAGAAAGAGAAATTCATCATGTGCAACATGCACGTCTGCATTTAGTCAAGATGAGCACAAAATGCAAGTCTTAATCAACAAAGTCCCTGAGGAGAGTGGTGATTACCAGTGACTAACTTAATTCAGTTGGGCACCCCGGGAGACCGTTTGTGTTACATTTTCCTGAGTAGGGTAAACGTTAAACCCTAGTTGTGGTGACCGTTTTTATACGAATTGTTTGTGTGTAATGTAGCTGGTTAACGGTTTGAGTGTTTTGAACTTTATCTTAGACACAGTAGCAAAAGACAACTCAAGGTGCCGGTAGCGTTGTTGCCCCAGTGAAATGAACCGACCGTCAAAACGACATCGATAACACGACGTCGATTTCGCCTTGACAACGTCTGTTCTACACCACTACGGCGTCTTTCCGACATCTTTGGGACGTGTCGATTCTGCCTTTCTGACGTCTAGTCCGACATTGGACGTCGATTCTGTCTTTTCGACGTCTCGCATTGATTCCGACGATTCCGACGTCGTTCCTACGCTCGTCCGCCGCGCGCCAAACCAACCACGTGCTGGCGAGCTCCGCGTGACACAACGCGGACAGGCGTCTGGTTTTATCAGTGGTCCTCCTATCGTCATCTCCTCTCGAAATAAGCTGCTGCTGCTGCTGGGCGGCCCTTCGGGCGAGGCGGGGCGGGCGGCGTGGGAGGAGCGCCCGTCCGCGTGAAAAACTCGAAGGCCTTTTATGTATTCGGTTTCGCTGCACATGTTTTACGACGTTTTCGCCTCCTCCGTCTCTCTTTCTGCGAGGCACCCGCAACGGCAACGTCGTATCTTCGACGTCCCGCCGATGTCGTTCGGGGTCGATACGCGATCAGGCCCCCCAAAGCTCGTCGTCGTCGTCGTCGGCCCGCGCCTGACCCGGAAATTCGTATTTGGTGGACGCGGTGACGCCGTCCCTAGGCGGCCAGGGGAGTCGGAAGTAATAATTGTCTTTGGACTTTGATTTCGTTATCGAGAGACTTGTGAAACGGAGCCGGGCCACAGCGCGAGCGCAGCGGGGTGGGGCGAGGCCCTACGGGGCGGGCCCTCACCCTGCGCGTGCGGGTGGCGCAGCATCGCGGATGAGAGAGAGAGGTCCGTGACGGTGCGGTTCTTATTGACCTGCAGGTGGAGCGGGCGAGGCGGGCCCGGCGGGCCCCGCCGCCGCCGGCACCCCGGCGCCGCTGCTGCCGCCCACGCCGCCGCCCGTGACCACGCCGCAGCCCCCGGACGAGCGGCCCACCGAGGAGACGGACCTGCGCACCGCGTCGTCAGGTGAGCTGAGCCAACGGCGCCGTCTAGGAATTTCAATACACGAAAATCTTTCCGAGAAAACTTAAAACTTCTCCGGAAAAAAATGGAAAAATTTGAAATATTTGCAGGAAAAATTGAAAAAATGTAAGTTTTCGGAAAAAATTAAAAGCATGTAGAAAAATGAATTTTAATTTTGAGAATGTTTTTCTGTAAACTTAAAATCCCCAGGCAAAGCACTGGAATTTCATTTTGTTAGAAAAGAGGTTGAGGTAACGTTTTCACAGTACTTCATTTCAACCTGGGGAATACAATGCGGGTAGATTTTCCCAGCCGGGTCTCCGTCGACCCCAAAGAGGAATGGGCCGTGAGAAAAGGACCTATCCCCCTCTTTAAAATTTCGGAAACAAAATTGCACACGGGGGTTCGTCCTGCTCCAGGCAGCACGCGTGGCCCAGTGTACACGTCGCCGTGGACGCCGACCTGGACGCCCACCCCGTCGCCGTGGACGCCCACACCTTCGCCGTGGACGCCGCGCTATGAGTTCACCACCGAGAGGACCACCCCGCAGCCCCCGTCCGAGCGTAAGTCCATACCGGCCGACCCAATCCTTTTTCAATCATGTACTGTCGACATTCGCATGTTCCCGGCCGTTGCCTGATCTAAACGTGGCCGACTAGAGCAGGCCACACGCGAGCACGGCGAGCAGACGACTGACTGAAACGCCGTTTCTTCTTTGCAGTCGAGGGCTCGTGCTCGTTCGAGGGCCGCTGGTACCGGGACGGCGAGGACTGGAAGCCGGACGCCTGCACGGCCTGCGTGTGCACGGGCGGGAGGGTGCAGTGCGCGCAGAGCGGCGACTGCAACGCAGGTGGGGCGCAGGTGCAGCCGCACTATAGAGCAAGAACAAGTTGAAAGTTGGCTGAGAACATGGTGGATAAGATTGTTTGCTCGTAAATGCATTTCCCATGGGAGTGACAACCAAATGTGCTTGGACACATAAAATGCATAGCCACAATGCTCTTACTTTTTAAGTAAAAAAATAATCAAATGTGTGATTTTTTTAAAACAAAAGCAAAGTCGATGACCTCCTTGCAGCCATGGCCTAACGTTTCCAAACTGTTTGTCGCCGGTTTCCTTCAGGGCCTCACTGCACCGGAGTGGTGTGCGTGGACCTGGACTGCGAGACGGCCAAGTACATCCCGTTGGGACAGTGCTGTCCGGTGTGCGCCGGTAAGTGCCCAACGATACCAAAGCCAAAAACAAACAACTAACTAACTCGTGCTGAACGTCTCAACTCATACCTGCCGCGGTTCTCTCGGCAGACGAGGTGACGGCCAAGGCGGTGACCCCCCTGGCTCCGACGTACCCGCCGCCGCCCGTGACGGTGGAGGGTCCCCGGGTGAGTACTACTTGCACAAGGGGAGCATCCAGAAAGTACGTCCGGCATTCGCCGCTTCCAAAAACTGACCAGTTTGGGCCAGTTCGGCCGATGAAAGCTCTCATAGCGCCTGGTGGGTAGGCAATATCCTGTCAGCAGTGCGTGCGTGTACTGCGGGGTGGCCTACCTCGACTCTCGCAGGCGCCGAGCTCGGACGCACTTTCTGGACGATCCCTTTCTAAGCACTGAAGTGCTTCGCGTGTGTGTACGCTGCTGTCACAGTTCACCATGCCCCCCGTGCCCCGGCCCGGCCCGCAACCCCAGCGAACTGCATCGCCAGCACTAAGTGATACTCGACGCTCGCGTCGCTGCTCCGAGTGTTCGTTACACACTGTAACGCTATTAGAAGCAATCACAGAGCCCGAGAGGGGAAAAGGGGAAGGGGGAGCGCCTGTGGTCCGCGGGTCAGTGGACTAGAATGAAGAGGGGGGGGGGGAGCGGAGTGCAGCGGGATCACGTCTACTGATGCGATGCTAAAACCACACCCACACCCACTTTACCGCGTGTAGCATTTACTGCGTCTAGATAACTTTGTATAATGCATCTATTATTTGTTTGCCGACAGGGCGAACCTGGCTGGCGCGGTGAGCCCGGACGGCCAGGAGACGGCGGCCTCCCCGGTCAACCTGGAACGCCTGGAATACCCGGAAGTCCTGGGCCTCCCGGACATGCGCCAGATGTAAGTGCAGAGCCAGCAAGCGGTCGTTTTGGTCCCGCCAAAAAATGAAAAAAATGAAAAGGGGCAGAGCTGAGGAGCGCAGTTGTTTGACGTGGGCGTGACTGTTGCAGCTGACGTCGTACTACCAGGAGCTGGCGGCGCAGGCCGCGGGCAGCGAGAAGGGCCCCACGTCCAACAGCTACCCGGACCCGTTCCGGTACCTGCAGGCCCAGGTCGGGCCGGTGGGGCCGCGCGGGCCGCCGGGGCCACCCGGGCCGGCGGGCCCGCAGGGCTTCCAGGGCATCCGCGGCGAGGCCGGCGAGGTGGGCGCCGTCGGACCGCAGGGCCAGGCCGGGCCCAGGGGGCTGCCGGGGCTCCCGGGCAAGGACGTAAGTACCGGCGCAGGGACAACACCGAGGGGTACTTCACACCGATTTTTCAGTTTTCTCTTATTTGCCCTTAATTCATTTTCTTTACTGTTTCTTTCTTCTGATTTTCTTGTGTTTTTTTTTTCGATTTTTTTAGGGGTTGTACAATAATTTCTTTGTGTAAACTCGCTCACATTATTCGCCAAAATGGTGTTCCCATTTTCACGCATTGTTTTTTTCACATAGAGTGTTCATAAAATTAATGGGCATTTCCTTTCTCAGGGTGAGGCTGGCGAGGACGGCGAGGCCGGCCAGGCTGGGCCTGCGGGCCCCGCCGGCCCCCGGGGGCTTCCGGGCATGCCCGGGCTGTCCGGGGTCAAGGGGCACCGCGGCTTCCCCGGTTTGGACGGCGCCAAGGGCGAGCAGGGCGTGGCCGGGGAGAAGGGCGCCTCGGGTACGGCGGGGCCACTCGGGCCACCGGGACCTACGGTGAGCATCGCCACGCCACACCGAAGTTGCGTCGGAACCGCGTCGTTTTGGTGTGGTTTCAAAGTTGTCCGGGCTTCGCACCGATTATTGTTTCGACTTTGCGGGCCTGTGGGGCCTAACGTCCCGGTGACTGACTGCACTTGTTTTGTTCCCTCCAGGGCCCGGGCGGGCCGCGTGGCGAGCGGGGCAGGGAGGGCCCCCCTGGACCGCCTGGCATCAGAGGCATCGATGGGACCGCCGGACCTCCGGGACAGCCGGTATGACGTCGTCCAGAACCGTGTCGGTGAGGTGAACACAAGGACCTCGACCTTGATCTGACTCTGTTCCTGTGCAGGGTGCCGTCGGCAAGTCGGGGCCGCCGGGCTTCCCAGGCAGCCCTGGCAACAAGGGCGACCAGGGCGCGCAGGGGGTGAAGGGCAGCTCTGGACTCCAGGGCCCGCGGGGTGAGTCTGGGCGCCCTGGACAACCGGGAGACACTGGCCCCCAGGGGCCCTCCGGCAAGGACGGCAGCCCCGGCGACAAGGGAAGCTCCGGGTCCCCCGGCATCGCGGGGCCGCCTGGCTTCCCTGGAGCGAGAGGCCCCCCCGGCCTCAACGGCAGTCCTGGAGAGCCTGGAGTCAAGGGCCTACCGGTAGGTCGCTGCAGAGGGTCGGCGCGTTGCGGCGCCTAGTGCCGTGGACTCACCGCTGTCGTTGTTGTTTCCAGGGCACGCCTGGAGAGCGCGGCTTCAAGGGCGAGGCCGGCATGAAGGGGGAGACTGGCGCCCTCGGGCAGCGCGGGCTTCCGGGGGCGGCGGGGCCCGAGGGCAAGCGGGGCAAGCGGGGGATGCGGGGGCCAACGGGCCCCAGCGGGCCCCCCGGCGAACGGGGCGTGGCGGGGCAGCGGGGGCTTCCGGGTCCGGACGGCGCACCCGGGCCCAAAGGTACAGCTGCGCGAACACGAACGTCGAGGTGGCGGGAGGTTGGAGGTTTGCTGACGCGACGAACGTCTCCCTTGCAGGACAGTCTGGTGATCGCGGCGCCCAGGGACCCCAGGGGCTCAAGGGCGCGTCTGGAGAGCCAGGCCGGCCGGGCACGCCTGGGCTGCAGGGGCTGCGCGGGCCGGCGGGCCGGCCGGGCCCCCCGGGCAAGACGGGCAACCCCGGCGAGAGGGGCATCCAGGGCGCGGACGGCAAGCCGGGCGAGCAGGGCCCGCAGGGACTCCAGGGGCTGCCCGGGCCCATGGGCATGCCGGGAGACAAGGGGCTGACGGTGAGTGGGAGCGAGAGGGAGAGAGCGAGAGCGAGTGAAAGTGAGAGCGAGAGCGAGTGAAAGTGAGAGCGAGAGCGAGTGTGTGAGAGAGAGGGAGGGGAAGCGAGGGGGAGAGAGCGAGCGAGGGAGAGAGAGAGAGTGATCGCGAAAGCACTGGCGAGAACCAGCCAGTGCGGGTGCCAGGCAGCCGTGAGGTAGGCCGGTTGCCCAAGCACGGTGCGCGTTGGGTTGCCTACCCGAGATTCGCAGGCGCCGTCGAGTGACTCTATCGGCCTCTCCTGCAGGGTGAGTCCGGCAAGGACGGCGAGCCAGGGCCACCGGGCCCCACCGGACCTCGCGGAGACGCAGGCAAGGACGGAGCTACAGGTGTCCAGGGTCCCCCAGGACCTCCAGGTGCAGACGGAGAGCGAGGTCCCCCCGGACCAGCAGGGCCAACTGGATTCCAGGTTAGCACACAAGTGACGTAACGTTTCCACTTAAATGGTATTTTACGTGGCACATACTGACGGGAACTGTTATTGTGTTTTTACAGGGTCTCCCTGGTCAGCCTGGAAATCCAGGTTCTCCAGGAAAGGACGGCGAGGCGGGTGTGCAGGGTCCCCCAGGTCCCCCGGGCCAGGCAGGTTCCCGCGGAGAGCGGGGTTTCCACGGAGAGAGGGGCCCCGTCGGCCCTCCAGGGACTCCAGGAGCCAGGGGCGAGGCCGGCGCGCAGGGCGCTGACGGACAGCCTGGCCAGCCCGGAGCCAAGGGCAGCAAGGGGCACCAGGGCCCCATGGGCTTGGTGGTGAGTTTCTCCACCCTCCAGTGTCGCGTCCGGATTCCAGATCGTCCTCTCCGTCCTGAATCAAACCGTTCCGTTGCAGGGTCTCCCCGGTGGCAGAGGCTTGCCTGGACTTCCAGGAGACAAAGGAGAGCGGGGAGCGACGGGTCCCATCGGGCCGGAGGGCCCCGCGGGTAAGTGTCCGGAACTTACTTTTGTCCTAACTCAGTGAATATTTTCCTCACATTCCGTTCGTTTCCAGGTCGCGCCGGCGAGCGCGGTCCCCAGGGTATCCAGGGCGCCCCGGGTCCTCCGGGAGAGCCGGCGGAACGCGGTGAGACCGGCCCGCCGGGGCCCCCCGGAGAGTCCGGCGCGGCGGGCTCCCCCGGTGAGCGGGGCCCGTCCGGGACCCCCGGGCCGCCCGGCTTCCCCGGCGCCCAGGGCCTCATCGGGCTGCCCGGGTCCAAGGGCGAGCGCGGCATGAACGGCATGAAGGGCGAGCAGGGCAACCCCGGGCCGTCCGGCATCCCCGGCGAGCAGGGCCCCCCGGGCCTGGTGGGGCTGACGGGGGCCAAGGGCGCCCGGGGGGAGACGGGCCCGCGCGGGGAGAGCGGCCTCATGGGCCCGCCCGGCCGCCCCGGCGAGCAGGGGCTAGCGGTGAGTACCTAGCGCAAGTGCGTGACAACACTGACAACGCGGAAAAACGCTTGAAAATGAGAATATCGTGGCTAGAAACTGTTACAGTCGTTGTCTTTCTCAGCCCCGTACTAACTGGGAATGAGAGTGAAAAACATATAAGATGTCCCGGCAGTAAAAATAAACAGCCATGATATTCTCATTTTCAATTCAATATTGCTATTGCTATGCCACCTACACACATGTTCGCTGCCTAAGTACTGATGTGATGAGAGGTCTGAAATGCAATCTCTGTCCAGGGTCACCCGGGCAACCCCGGCGCGCCCGGTGCCGCGGGCGTCCCCGGCATCAAGGGGACGGCGGGCGACATGGGCCGACCGGGCAACCCCGGGCCGCAGGGCCTGCAGGGCGCCCCCGGGCTCGAGGGCCCCAAGGGAGACACCGGGTCCGAGGGCCCCCCAGGCCCAGCTGGCCAGGCCGGCCCGCACGGGTCCCCAGGTAAGCGATGTTACAATCAGTGGAAGTGGGGAGGGTGGAGCTGAGACAGCGCGGGTGTTCAACGAGACCATTTCCGTTGTCTTGCAGGTGAACGTGGTCTGCCGGGACTGCCGGGGCCTACGGGACCTCCGGGAGCACGAGGACTCCGCGGTGCTTCGGTGAGACCAGTGGCCCTTCGGTTGGCTGCGCCCCTCGCCGTAGTCGTACTGTATACCGCCTGCAGTCTGCCTACGGAGGCGGGCGGGGAAATAGGGACCGTCCAGAAAATACGTCCGTTTTCCTCTCAGATGAGTTCGGTGAATAACGGTATAGCTCAGCGCCTGTGAGGCTCGGGGTAGGCCATCCCGCAGTACACGCATGCACTGCAGGAAACATATTGCCTACCCATCAGGCGCTATGAGAGCTTGGCTGAATACGACGACGAATGACGGGCGTACCCTCTGGATGATCCCTAAACAGCCGCCCGATGCGAGTCCGACTTAAAGTGCGCACGGCGAGTCAGTGGGAGTGTTTCTTACGGCGTCGTCTGTCACCGCAGGGCGAGTCAGGGCCGCCGGGTAAGCCCGGCTCCGAGGGTGCCCCCGGCCCTATCGGGCTGGGCGGGCCCCCCGGCCCCCCGGGCCCCACCGGCGAACACGGACCGGAGGGACCTCCTGGAAAGATGGGACCCCCTGGAATCAGCGGACGGCCCGGAGACAAAGGGCCGATCGGTCCTGCGGGCGGCCCCGGCAACCCAGGGTCACCAGGACTTCCGGTACGTTTACATTTCTTTTGTAAGCCTGAGCATTGCTTGGCCGGGTTTCAGGGACGTGCACTGAAATACGTCCTGGACTTTTGCAGGGTCCTCCCGGACAGCAGGGTCCCGCAGGCTCGCCCGGCGAGCGGGGCCTCCGAGGAGAGATGGGGCCGCCAGGGGCAGAGGGACAGCTGGTAAGTCACACTCTACAAATAATGGTTAAGAAATAAAAGAATTATGGCAATCACAGATTTGTTCGTCACTATATAATCGTCTCTGCTCTTGTTCACAGGGACCCCGGGGCAAGCCGGGTCCGCCGGGCCCCGAGGGCGGCAAGGGGGAGCGCGGCGAGCTGGGCCCTAAGGGAGCCAAGGGACACCGAGGGCTCATCGGTTTGCAGGGACTGCCTGGGACACCCGTAAGTGACGCAGTACTGATTGCTTCAGAAATGAACTTACCCCACTGATGTGTTAGGTCTGCTCACTTCATGTCGATGTACCGGCAGGGGTTGAACGGCGAGAAGGGGATGGCGGGCCTGCCTGGTAGTCCAGGCAAGGACGGCGAGCCAGGCCAGAGGGGTATGTGCACTCATCCCGGTCTCTGAACAAGTACTTGAACCTTAGAGTCACCATAACGCTATCGTCTGCAGGTAGCCCCGGGCGCGACGGCAGCCCCGGGCCTCAGGGCCTGTCCGGGCCACCCGGCCCCAGGGGGCCGCCCGGCGACTCGGGCTCGCACGGCAGCGCTGGAAATCCAGGACCCCCGGGGCCTCCAGGGCCTCCAGGAGAGACCATCGGCTACGACGCAGCGGCCCTGGCGGCCATCATGGGCCAGTCGCAGAGCAAGGTGGGGGAGCGCTCAGAGAGGGGTGCCTAGGGTCCCTGGAGTTTTCACCCTCCTGGAGAGACCCTGGAGTTTCTAACGCTGTCGTTGCAGGGACCCGACCCGATGATGGGCGGGGACGAGCCGCCCAGGATCTTCGGCAAGGAGCTGTCCGAGGCGGAGCGGCGCGAGCTGCTGCTCAAGGCCTACAACCACGTCAAGGAGTCCCTGGAGAGGTTCCGCCGGCCGGACGGCAAGAAGGACGCGCCCGCCAGGACGTGCCGCGACCTCCACGCCGCGCACCCCGAGCTGCCGTCAGGTCAGAGCACTGCGGGTCGAGGTCAGCGTCCACTTGATCCCCCCGGCGTCATCTCATCTTTCCCCTATTTCCCCTTGCAGGCGAGTATTGGATCGACCCCAACGACGGCGACCCCCGCGACGCCATCCTGGCCGTCTGCGACATGGAGAGGCGGGCGACGTGCGTCGTGCCGCAGCCCAGCCGCTCCCCCGAGGTCAACTACCGCGGCGACGACCAGGAGGTCTGGCTGGGCGACCTGGACGACGGCATCAAGGTAGGCGTCGGTGAGCAGGCAGTGGTCTGCAGCGCGTGCCTCAAGGTACTATACTGGGAACGTCTCGCCCGCAGCTGACGTACAAGTCGGACAGCAACCAGCTGGGCTTCCTGCAGCTGCTGACGACCAACGCGCAGCAGAACCTGACGTACCACTGCAAGGGCTCGGTGGCGTACCACGACGAGGCCAAAAACACGTTCCGCAAGGCCATCAAGTTCCTCGCCTACAACGACGCCGAGATCACTGCCCGCGGCAACCAGCGCTTCCGCTACGAGGTCCTGGAAGACGGCTGCAAGGTGAGCGCTCCCTGCGTAGAGCTGGTCTTCGTCCGTTTCAGAATCATCCCCCTCCCCTCCCTTTTCTGACACTCCGTATTTGTCGTACAGCACCGCAAGCACGAGTGGTCCAAGACGGTGCTGACCTACCGGACGGACAAGACCATCCGCCTCCCAGTGCTGGACATGGCCGTCAAGGACGTGGGCAAGGAGGGCCAGAGCTTCTGGCTGGAGGTCGGGCCGGTGTGCTTCTGGTAGCCTCGGCTGCCGAGGTCGTCTGCTAATGACTGACTTTGCACAGCAGACGACTCACTGCTCTCCGCTCAGGACAGACTGAGAGAATAGCTCATTGTGCCCCAGAAAAGCACAAAGAAGTGACAATTTTACATTAGGCTATAAGACTGTCATTCTAAATAATTAAATGTTTTATTGAAGACTTTTTGAAAACTCTCATACTGTATTCTCAAACAATGATCTGAGTTCGCTTGATTTTATTTGATACTGCCATTAGAAATATTACTATTGTTAAGTGTATTTCATAGGCCAAGATTGCATCATCTAGTATTCAACAACAAAAATATTGAGATTCTAGTAATTTTGTACATGCAATTAAAACTTTATGATAAAAACAACATTTTACTCTATGAATCAACTAAGAACCAAACAACCCACTGATAATGTGCCACATGTAGTGAAACTGAGTTGCGTGCCAGAATGGTGCTAAAGCCAGTGCCCAGCAAGGAACTGTAGAGGGCACATTACATCAAGGTTTTTAAGTCCACTGCAACTAGGAATAAGCGTAAGTAAAACAGTGTGGTTTTCTGGTCTTGTGCTTGGTTCTCTTTCCTTATGAAGAGTTAAACCTAGCTCAAACCTTAACAAAACTTTATGGATATTCATGTTAGTGTTGGTGTTTTAAGGTATCATCTGGTAAAAAACCCAAACACAAAGGGAGATTCTATGCACCAATTTATCACATTGATTACACACATTTAAATTTATGACAAAATAAATAAGAAACTTGTTTGTTGATTCACCAAACTAGAACACTTTTCTTCCCACCTTTTACAAGTACTAGAATTCTAACTCACATTTGTTTGTCATCTCATAGTCCAGAGCATCCAACTCTTTAAGGGAATTTTTCAATGCCTGGAAACAAAAAAGTACAATTGATCAACTTTGAAGGACAAAAATACAAAAACAAAAAAACAGAACACTTTAGCATGAGACCAAAAAAAAAAGAAAAAAAGGGTATTTCCATGAACTTACAATATACTCCTTCTGCTTCTGCTTTCTGGTGAATGTTATATTAGCTTCCTCTTTGAACAGTTTTTTCGCCATACCTTGCAGCTTGGCGGCTAGTTCCAATGGCATATTATTTTGGAGGCCATTTACCAAATAAGTCATTGTGGCCTTCGTCACAGTGTCCTGAATGCGGTTTGCAACTACTCCATAGTAAACATTCAACATGTCACCTGTTAACACCAAAAACGAAAATTAATACAGAGTCAAATATCTATCACAAAGAAGCAGTGGAGTACTGTTTAAAGCCCCGGCTGCGACATATTATTAGCACATATGATAGTTTGTAACAAAACAGAAGTCATGCCAACTTACCTAGCACCATGACATGCTTACTGTCTTGAATAGTTGGTTTCAGGATTTCAGTTATATTGTACTCAGAAGATTTTGCTTTTTGGCTGAAGTAGTAGTCACTAGTAAATGGAATTTTAAGCTTTGATTGGTCATCTTCTTTTAAAATTGCTTGAAGAGATTCATTTTTAAATTTTAAAAAATGACTATGTGTAATGTGCGTCTCTTCAATCAGTATAGACTGTTCTACCTTTAAGAGAAGAAAATGAGGAATCAATATTCTGTAGAGTCAATAATTCTTCAATTTGTTCTATTTTAACCTTATGAAATTTGGATTCAATGATTGAGGAGAATACTTACAAATTGTTTTGTTTTCTCTGTTAATTCGTCAATAATACTATTCACCACGGAAGATATTTCAGTTGCCGCCCTGGGAAATCTGGTTCCGATATCCTTGGGAATGCTTTTACGGCACACCTCCTTCAGTTCATCAGAGACTTTTTCAATACAAAGCCTCGATGGCAGCCGCATGGTTCTTATGAGTGGTCTCATTAATTCCTCAAAAGCTAGTTCACTAAATATCATTGGTGGCTCCGGGCCACTGGTTTGCCTGATTGTTAAGATAACTTTTTCCGTAGAATATTTCTGGCATGGTACCATAGACATGAGTGAAGTCTCCAAGGTTTTGAAAATACAACAAAGTTTGGCTCCTCCAGTCCTGGAAGAAGAGAGACAGTTGCCGATCATCAATACGTATATCCAAAAAGCAAATAACATATCCAATACTAATTGAGAACTTACAGAAACATGGAGTCTATATCCACACATTCTCCCTTCATCATCTTACAGAATGATTGAGAAAACATACTTATCATATGGTGCAAGGAACCTTTATCATCCACTATTTCCTCTCCACACTTATCCAGGATACTAATGCAGTCCTCCAGCCGTTGGACAAAAGTTGCCTATAAAAGATACCAAACAGAAACACAAATTAAAAATTTCATTTGTTTTACAATGAGAATTTGCCTGAGACCAATACAAAAAAAAAACATAAAATGTAGTGGTTGACAAACCGACCTTCATGTCTGGAAGGCATGTCTTAATGTGCCTAATAAGTAATGTTTGTAGGGTTTGGGCAAGGTATGCACTTCCATTTTTATGGGCTAACTCTGGGTAATTGCTCCTCAGAAAATTTTCTTCATCTTTAATAGCATCTTCGATACTCTGAAATAAATATACATATTTATTTAAAAGATTGGAGTAAGCAATTCAAATTTCCATTAGGTGACCTTGGTGTATTGCTCGTTCCTTCATAAACTCTCCAACGCCAATCTCTAAAATATACAGTAATTTAATAGAATTTAAAGATATGTAACATACCTTTTCATCAGTAACGTCTTTTTGAGACCTAAGAACTACACCTATGATGCCAAGTTTTACAGGAATGCACATTCCATTCAAAATTTCAGTGGCATCAGTTCCTTCACAATGAGAAATTTCAAAAGTTATTTTATGGCCCTTGTTACTCAACAAAAAGTATCATTCTTCTTATGTGCTACTATTTACCTTTATCCATTAAATCTAGTTTTGTAACTACTGCTATTGTGCGTTCACCATCAGGATCAACCTTTCTTGCCATTTTCAGACACTCGTTAGTTGTCATGTCTGTGTTAGCAGTTATTACAGCTAAAATAATACTCTTTGGATTTTGAATGTAGTCATTTATAAGGCTGACAATCTGGTCCTCTATGTCTTCGGGCTGATCTCCAACAGCCACCTGCATTTGGTTTAAAATACAGCATCATTATTCCTATTTCCAAGTTTACTTTAAGTTTACGAGTTGTTTGATTTTGCACATACCTTTGTGATGCCTGGCAAATCCACAAGTGTTAGTGTCAGAACAAACGGAGAAAAAATCTTCAAAACAATAGGAATTTTTGAAATGTTTTTGTTCTGTCCAGCTAGTGCTGCTGTCCTTCGCTCAATTTCTCTTTCAATCTGTGTTATTGGGTAAACAGTGTGTTCCTCCCCAACAACCCCATCAAACTCTCCCCATTCATCATAAGAAGAACCTAAAAACAATTTTAACAGGTGTAATTCAAATCATATGAGTTTCCATGTCAAAATTCCACTAGATTTTCCAAATCTCTCGTCCCAAATAACTCACCACTCTTCTCACGTAAACTGTCACCAATAGGACAGTTCACCAGTCGTAAGATCAAAGGGCAACGAGTGACAATGCCTTTTCCACGAGGTAGGAAGGAGCGGCGCACAATCGACTCCAATACAGAGCTCTTTCCCGTGCTCTGGAAGCCAATAAAACTATTCAAGAAAAGAAGGAAAAGGTAACATGATTGTGAATCAAAAGTGTTTTGTACGTACCTGGCTTCCCACCACAACGATTTGAGGAAGGTCCACGGGCTTTTGACTCAAGGCCTTGAATTGATCCTGGATGTTGTTAATGGAGAATATAACGTCGTCCATGTCGAACACTTGGAAAAGGGTCTTTGAATTCCCTAAAAAAAAAAAATATTTGCCCCACAACTGACAACTGAGTTTGACTAACGAGCTCCCCCCCCCCCCCTCTCTCTTCCCAGGCACCGGTTATTCCCCTAGGCAGCAAGTGAGGTTAGGTTTTCGTTACGAGATTTGGACAATAGCTTGTTCCGCTTTGCCACTATTTATTTTGTGATCTGCTTTCTTTCCTCTTTGTCTGTGACACGGCACTACACGGCACTAGATATTTTGAAACACACTTTCATGTCACGAATGATTGAAACACGCCCACGCCACCCTAGCCTGCCTCATGATGCGGTGCTTGGTGTAACCATGGTGGGGACTAATTCTGCTTACCCTTTGGCTCTGAGAAACACAAGCGTGCAGCGCAGCAATATATTCAAGTCTCAACTAACGCAACACTCGACGAACGGCACTAACACGACCACGTCGACCAAGTCGCAAGCCGAACTGAAAACTCTCCGCGGCCCGGGCGCTCGCAGCTTTCAAACGAGGGGAGGGGGAGGGAGGGAGGAAGGAAGTCTGAGTGGTGCGTGAGTCGGTCGGTGCGCGAGGTGCGCGCTGCGCTGTGCTGTATGCTGCATCTTCTTCAACTTTCAACTTCAACAAGGGTTTTAACGACCGTATGCTGCGCAGCTGCGCTTTGTCGGTGTCGACGTCCAAGGTAGGCTATCTTCGAACCTTCCTTAACTTCACCAAGGGCCTCCAGGGCGTTGTTTACATAACTTTGATTCAGGGGGGGGGGGGGGGGGGGGGGGGGGGGTAACGGATTTTGGGATTTGGCTATACAAGTCAAAATATGTAAACATTTTGGGTAAAGCGGACGCAAAGGGGTACGGTAGATTGGTACTTTTGCCAAGCATGATATCAGGCAACTATATAGTTGTTCGGATGTATTTCTAGGCGCATTCATGTACGACCTAAAGCTTGCTGAACAAAGGTTAGCCTGACTTGGCCACCCTCTCACCGCCGTGACTCCTCCCCAACCACGGACTTTAGGTATGTTTTAGAGGAAGGTCTATTAAACCGAAATCAGTTTTCAGAAAGTAGGATTTAATTTTTTCCACCCCTATCCCTATCTTTACTGGTCTGAATCGTCGAGAGGCTTGTCGTAAACGAGAGCCCCGGTCGTGTCTCCCACCCGTCTCTTGATCTCCTCTTTGGTGAAGGTGCACAGCACGGCCCCGCTCGGCAACCCCAGGCACTGAAAGACATCCTCAGGCGTCGGGCTCAGGACCCGACGGAGCCACTGCAACACGTCGGCCGGGCTCCAGTGCCATGCACTGAGCAACTGCGGCTCGTCGACTTGAGACCAGGTCTGTGTGTCCAGGAGGTCCTGGCCTGTGTGACAAAATGTTAAGTTTTAATCTCTTTCAAATGTTTTGAATGGTGTAAAAGGAATACCAGGTGGCTGATTAACCTAGCGCACTTTTATGTTGTTACCGCATTCCTACGTGCGGGTCAAAGGCGCCGTGGGTCAGGGGCGATAGGCAAGCCCGCCCGCACTGCTCGTGCGTTTGCGATAACTACAGAAGTGCGCGGGGTTAATCAGCCACCCTGGTACATAATCACGGGTGTCGTGTGTCGTCGTCTTACTGATGTTGCCGGATAGTGTGGCGAACGCCGGGCCGCCGGCGCTCGGGCGGTAAGAGGTCTCAGTTCCCACGTCCCTACTTGTGGCCACAAAATTGTGGCCACAAACCCAGCGGCCAGAATCAGCTTAATCCGACCCGACTATAGAACACCCTTTTTCGGGTAATATGAAATCCAAAGCCTTCAGGAAGTAACCAGAAGGTAGGGACGTGCTCTGCACATAGTCCGTGACGAGCCGAAAGGCCCCGGATGCGTAAAAACCAACGCAATGGGGCCCAGGGGGCCCCAAACAGCTTTTGAAAGGATTGCCTACCCTCCAGGCGCCCTGAGCCACAACTGGGCCCTCAGCCACAACTCACCCGAAGGTCACCCACACATTACAAAGAAGTCGGGGGCGCACGGCTAGATACGTTCATTTTCGCAAAAGTATTTAAATGCCGAGGGGGCTGGGTCCTATCTCGTTCTCTGTCCAAAAATAGGCAAAAAAGTATTTTTTTCAGATTTTTTGGACACAAGTAAAAGGTTGCGCCGGCCCGTCAAAGTTAACATGCAAGTCTTATGGGACAAACGGCTAAAAAGTGTTTTTCGCCTTTTTCTCTTTTAGTTTCAATTTTTCTTGAAGTCTGTTTGGAGAAATGGAATCTACGCGTAAAAACAC